TCTCTCTCTCCCTCCCTCTCTCTCTCTCTCCCTCCCTCCTCTCTCCTACTCTCTCCCTCTCTCTCTCCCTCTCTCTCTCTCTCCTCTCTCTCCCTCCCCTCTCTCTCTCTCCCTCCCTCTCCCTCTCCCTCTCCCTCTCCCTCTCCTCTCCCTCTCTCTCTCTCTCTCTCTCTCTCTCTCTCTCCTCTCTCTCTCTCTCTCTCTCTCTCTCTCCCTCTCTCCTCTCCCTCTCTCTCTCTCTCTCTCTCTCTCCTCTCTCTCTCTCCTCTCTCTCTCTCCCTCTCTCCCTCTCCCTCTCTCTCTCTCTCCTCTCTCTCTCTCCTCTCTCTCTCTCTCCCTCTCTCTCTCTCTCTCTCTCTCTCTCTCTCTCTCTCCCTCTCTCTCTTTCCCTCTCTCTCTTTCTCTCCTTCTCTCTCTCTCTCTCCTTCTCTCTCTCTCTCTCCCTCCTCCTACTCGCCCCCACCCCCCAGACGAACATCAATTGACCAGGTTAATGAATCACACATGGACGGGTGAGTAAAATGCAAACGGATGATGAGAGAGAGAGAGAAAAAAAAATACTACATAAATAAATAAACAAGTCTACACAGACTCAGACACGTACAAGCACACACACACACACACACACACACACAAACACACACACACACACACACACACAACCACACACACACACACACACACAACCACACACACACACACACACAACCACACACACACACACACACACACACACACACACACACACACACACACACACACAACCACACACACACACACACACACACACATACTAAATGCGACAGGTCAATCTGGAATCCCAAACGAGGGATTCCAAAGGCTCATAAATCCTACGACGACACTCAGGTCCTGAAGGATAAGCGAGGTGGGGGGGGAGGGGTGGGGGGTGGAGATGGATAACCTCAGTAGGTGCGAAGGGGGGAGGAGGGAGGGGAGGGGAGGGGAAGGGGAGGAGAGGGAAGGGGAGGGGAGGGGAGGGGAGGGGAGGGGAGAGGAAGGGAGGAGAGGGAAGGGGAGGGGAGGGGAGGGGAGGGAAGGGGAGGGGAGAGGAAGGGAGGAGAGGGAAGGGGAGGGGAGAGGAAGGGAGGAGAGGGAAGGGGAGGGGAGGGGAGGGGAGGGGAGGGGAGGAGAGAGGAAGGGGAGGGGAGAGGAAGGGAGGGGAGGGAAGGGGAGGGGAGGGGAGGGGAGAGGAAGGGAGGAGAGTGAAGGGGAGGGGAGAGGAGGGGTGGAGATGGAATAGGAGGGGAGGAGGAGAATGGAGGGGGAAGAGGGGAGGGGATGTGGATGGGAGGGGGGATTGGGGAAATACGAAGAAGGAAGGGGGGGGAGAATGGGCTTCAAGTTGATGAGGAATGGATTACGACGTTGGCTGCATTCCTCGGGCGAAGGCCATGGCAAAGGAAATTGAAGAATAGACAGAGGAATGTAAAAAAAAAAAAAAAAAAGTATGTATGTGCCTGTGAGCGTTTTTCGTGTATGTCCGCGCGAGTGCGCGCCTGTGCGTGCGCGTTTAATAAATAGGCGTACACGCATACTAATGTTATGTGGGCGTGGGTGTAGGGAGGTAGAGCAGCGATGGAATGGCGATGGGAAGGAGAGGGAGAGGGAGAGGGAGAGGAGAGGAGGAAGAGAGAGAGAGAGAGGGAGGGAGGAAGAGAGAGAGAGAGAGAGAGAGAGAGAGAGAGAGAGAGAGAGAGAGAGAGAGAGAGAGAGAGAGAGAGAGAGTGAGAGAGAGAGAGAGAGAGAGGAGAGAGGAGAGAGAGAGAGAGAGAGAGAGAGAGAGAGAGAGAGAGGAGAGAGAGAGAGAGAGAGAGAGAGAGAGACAGAGAGCGAAATAGAGAGAGAGAGACAGAGAGCGAAAGATAGAGAGAGAGAGAGAGAGCGAATGAGAGAGAGCGAGAGAGAGAGAGCGAAAGAGAGAGAGCGAAAGAGAGAGAGAGAGAGAGAGAGAGAGAGAGAGAGAGAGAGAGAGAGAGAGAGAGAGAGAGAGAGAGAGAGAGAGAGAGAGAGAGAGAGAGAGAGAGAGAGAGAGAGAGAGAGAGAGAGAGAGAGAGAGAGAGAGAGAGAGAGAGAGAGAAAGTGAAGAAAAGGAAAAGAAAGAAAAGAAAAATGGTGTCGAGATATGAGCAGATTTCCAGACAGACAACCAGTTTATAATGGTCTACAAACGAAAAAAAAAAAAATCTATTAAAGAAACAAGACATACTTGCTCGACAAAGGGACAATTTTATCCAGAAAATAATTAAGAACAATGCGAAATAATACGGAGAAATCAGGGAAAGAAATGCAAGTTTCCGACGAGGAAAAAAAACAACAAAACGACTAAAAAGAGCCGAAAGAGGAAAGAGAAGCGAGGAAAACGCTCACCTCACAGTCCATATTCGTGGCGACGAGTATCTCTTATCGCTCAGAGCCTCTTATCACTCGAGGGCTTCTTACACACATGTATACGGATACACACGCACACGCAGACGCACACACACACGCTCACAGCCTCCACCGAAAGAAATATACGCATACCTACTTACCTACACACTTACACACACACAACACATACCTACACAACACACACACACACACACACACACACACACACACACACACACACACACACACACATACATACACAAACACACACACACACGCACACTCACACGCCCTAACGTTCTCTCTCTACCTCAGTGTTTACCTGCCTAATCTACCCCTCGCGCTCTCCTCTCCCCTCCTCTCTTTCCTTCTTATTCTCTCTTTTACTTTCTGTCCCCCTTTCTCATTGCCTTTGTTCTGTATCTATTTGTGACTCTTGTCATTCTCATTCACATTCTCCTACTCTCTTTTCTCCTTCCTCTTCCTCCGCCGGTCTTCGTCCTCCACTTCTCCCCTTCCGTATCTTATTATTTTCGGTTTCTTCCTATTCCCTTCTATTCCCCCTTTCCCACTCCTGCTCCAACCTTTTTTTTTCCCTCCCCCTTCTTCGCCCTCATCTTCCTACTCCATCCATGCCCCTATTTTCCTCCTCTTCCCCCCACCCCCCTTCCACTCTCCTATCCCCCTCACCACCTTCTCCCTCCCCCTACCCCCCCCCCAATTCAAACTCGAACACCGTCCCCCTTAAAACCCTTATCAGCATTACTATCATCACCATCACCAGGCCAACCCAAGCCCTTATCATCACCATCAAAACACCATCACCATCATTCAATTTGACACCCCCCCCACACCAAGAAGCATCATCATCATCATCATCACTATCACCATCACCACCAGTATACCCTCCCCATTACCATTATCATTGTCATCCCTCAGCCAACCCCTTCCCCCCACCCAACTACCGAGACCCCCCCCCCCCCACCCCTATCCCTTCTCCCCTCGCCAGGTAACCCCCCCTCCCCTGCCGGCTAGGACCCTCCTGAGGCGACCAATCGGAAGCGTCGATTTACCTGTCCCTCGACGATGATTGGTCGTGTATCGATGTGCATACCTTGTGGAGTAGACGCACACGCACGCACACACACACAGACACTTACGCGCTTCCTCCTTACTTACATACGCACACACTTTGCCTGTTAGCGTGGCCCGTCCTATTGTTCTGACTTTTTCCCCTTCCCTTCTCTTCGTTTTTCTTTACTCACTTCATATATCCTTTCCTGTGTTTTTTATTAATTATTTTTTTTCTTTACTACTCCCCCCCCCTTTACTTTCTTCAAGTCATGTCTCTTATCTTCCCTTCCTTTTATCCTTTCTATTCTCTTTCCATTCCTTTCCACCAATTTTCTCTCCATTCCATTCCTTCTTTATCCTTCCCTTTCATTCCTTCCACTGATCCTCTTCGCGTCTTTCGCCCCCTCGCACTATCCCTATCCTCTCCCTTCTTCTCTCCCCCCCCTCCTCCGTTTCCTCTCTCTTCTTCATTCCGTCCTTCTCCCTAGTTCTCTTCCCTTCCCTCTCCTTTCCTCCCTCCACTTCTCATCCTCCTCCTCTTCCCTTCTCTTCCCTTCCCCTCCACTTCTCATCCTCCTCCTCTTCCCATTCCTTCTCTTCCCTTCCCTTCTCTTCTCTTCCCTCCCCTCCCCTCCCCTTCCCTCCTCTTCCCTCCCCTTCATTCCTTCCCGTTCTTTTCCTTCCCTCCTCTCTCCCCCTCCGAACGCACGACAAAGTGATGTGCATTATGTACTTTATTGCCCTCACTTTTTCGCCGGGTTCTCCCTTTTATCATGGTTCTCGTCTCGCGGACGGGGGAAGAAAGGCAAACAAGAGAGGAGTGGGAACAGCATGGGTTGGACGGAGAGAGGGAAGGAGAGGAGGAGAGACGAGGAGAAGAGAAGAGAGGAGGAGAAGAGAAGAGAGGAGGAGAGAAGAGAGGAGGAGAAGAGAAGAGAGGAGGAGAGATGAGGAGAGACGAGGAGAAAAGAGGAGGAGAGACGAGGAGACGAGGAGAAGAGAAGAGAAGAGAGGAGGAGAGAGGAGGAGAGGAGGAGAGACGAGACGAGACGAGACGAGACGAGACGAGGAGAGGAAAGGCGAGGATAGGAGAAGGGAGGAGAGAGAGACGGAAAGAGAAGAGGAGGAGAGGAGGAAGAGAGAGTAGGAAAGAAGAGAGATGTGAGGAGGAGAGAGACAGAAAGAGGTGAAAGAGGGGAAAGAAGAGAGAGACGGATTAGGAGAGGAGAGGAGAAGGTGGAAGAGGAGGACAGAAAGAGGAATAAAAGAAGGGAGAAAGAGGAATAAACGAAGGGAGAAAGAGGAATAAAAGAAAGGAGAAAGACGAACAAAGGCGGAAAGATGAAAAAGAGGAGAGAAGAGAAAGAAAAAAGTATAGGCAGAAAGACCGAGGAAGGCGGAGCAAGCGGGGGCGGAAAGAGGAGGGGCAGAAGAGAGGAGAAAGAGTAAGCAAGAACTGAAAGAGGGAGGAAAGGAGAGAGAAAAGAAAAGTGGACAAACGGCACCAAAATAGAGAGCGAAAACGCCCATGTCCTCACCTTGCCGGCCGCCCTCGCCGCCTGCAGAATGATGGGCGTGGCGGTGGAGAGAATGGTGGGCGGCCTCCTTGGGGGCGGTGGGGGCGCCTGGGGGTTCGCGGGCGTGTGGGAGGAGTGTAGGAGCGCGGTGTGGGCGTGCGCGGTGGCCGTGGCGGCAGTGGAGGCGGGGGCGGCCTGCAGGAACACGTGGTGCAGGATGGGCGTGGCGTAGGACACGGCGAGCGTGCGCACCACCTCGGCGCCCTCGACCAGCGTGGCCGTGCCCGCCTGGCCGTCCACGATGGCCGTCACGCCCTCGGCCGCCACCACGCCGCCCTCGCCGCCCTCCACCGTGACCGTGAGGCGCTGTGCGGGCGGCAGCGAGCGCGGCCGCAGCACCGTCGTGGTCCCGTCGGCCGCCTCCAGCACCGTCGCGCCGTCCTCGCGGCTGTACAGCGTCGTGGCGCCGCCGCCGCCCACCACCACCACCTCGCCGCCGCCGCCCGCGCCAGCGGACTCCTCCTCACCCTCCTCCTCCTCTTCCTCGCCCATCTCCTCCTCCTCCTCCTCTTCCTCTTCGTCTTCTTCTTCTTCCTCTTCCTCCTCCTCCTCCTCTTCTTCCTCTTCCTCTTCTTCCTCCTCCTCCTCTGCCTCGTGGGTCAAGTGCTGGTGGTCCTGAGGATGCTTCTCGTGGTGGTGGTGCAGCCACGCCTGTCGCACCGCGGGCGCGCGGGCGGCCTCGCCTCCCACGCCGCCTTCTCCGCGCACCTCCGCTCCGCCGCCCTCACTCATCATCACACTGGAACGGAAAAGTCAAAGTCAGTCACGCCGTTTACCGTCGGCAGCACCGATTCCCTTCTCGCCATCGCCCACGATCCCAGCATCAGTCACGAGCATCGCCTTGCCGTTGTCACCAGAGCATTACAGTTCTCGTAAACAACAGAAGCACACTAATTATAATACTAATAATTATAATGCAAAAAAAAACAAAAAAAAAACAATGATAATAATAAATAAATAAATAAATAATAATAATAATAATTAATAATATCAATAGTAATAATAATAATAATAATAATAATAATAACAACAACAACAAAAGTAATAACAGCAATAATGATGATGATGATAACAATGATAATAACATCTAAACATAACAATACCAGTAATAATAATAATGATAATAACAACAAAACAACAATAATCAGAATAAGTAATAATAATAATAACAATAATGATTATAATAATAATAGTAATAACCAAAATAATAATAGTAATAATAACAATAATCATAACAAAGTGTCATAACAACAATACTTAATAAAAAATATTAGTAATGATATTATTACTACTACTACTACTACTACTAATAATAATAATAATAACAACAATAACAGTAATAATAAAAAAAATTGATAATAACAACAACAGTGACAATAATCAATCAAAAAATTATGAATAAATAAGTAAATAATACTAGTGACGAACACCTACCACGAACGGTGCTCACGACACCCCCTAACCTCTGCGAATGCTCCCCTACAACACCCCCCCTCTCCCTCCCTCCCTCCCCTCCCCCCTTTCCCCTTCCCCTCAATAACCCCCACTTCTCCTCGCAACAACATTCGGGTGACAAATTAACGAAGGGCAAATACAGCGGCGGACGCGGCTACGACACTAATGTTACGTTGCGGCTGTAATTAGCGTCGGGGACATTTGTCAGTGACACGGCGTCTCCGTCTCCGAAGTCAGGCACTAATGAAGCGACAGGCCCTTGCAGTTCTCTACGTACGTGCATGCAAGCAGGCAAGAAAGCACGCGGCAACGAGCGTTCAAAATACGTACACCTATTAACGAAGGTGCATAAACACGCATACGCTCATGGATACGGATATTTGCGACATAAATACAAACTTCACGTGGATACACACTGACGGACGCGAAAATATATCCATCGAGAAAGTCAGCGCAGAAAAACATACACCATACATAGCGTGGTTTAGTGAAAGGCGAGACGTTTCAAAATCATACTCGATCTGTTGTATTCCACTTTTAACAACAAACCTTTTAACATGTACTGTGTTTTTTCCCTTTTGGTACCCTGATTGTCACTAGCACACAAACAAATTCTCTCTCTCTCTCTTATCTCTCTCTCTCTCTCTCTCTCTCTCTCTCTCTCTCTCTCTCTCTCTCTCTCTCTCACACACACACACACACACACACACACACACACACACACACACACACACACACACACACACACACATATTATTCGCGCGCGCATACCAACACATGACCCGCGAATGTACTAAAGGCCGCAAGCACGTCAACACAGGCAACATCCGACACGAACTCCCTTCCCGCGGATTTCACTAGGCCGCAGAAGGCAAAATCACTGCCCGCGAAGGACGACGGCGATAATGAAGGTGATAATGAAGATGACGATGGTGATGGTAGCAATGGTGACGAATGACAATAGGGAAGGTGCATGATAGAAAGAACGAGAGATAAAGAGAGAAGCGGCGAGGGAGATGCGAGTGAGAGAGAGGGGAGGAGGATGGGCGCGGGCGATCAACGCCTTGCTCCTGACGGGCGAGAGCCACGCTGACGAAGGCACGGCCTGGTGAGAGTGCTGTGTGAGGGGCGTGGTGCCTTCGGTACGTACGGTAACACAGCGGCGGCGGCAGCAACAGCAGTCCTGCAGGTATGGGCGGTGAAGCCCGTGTGCTGCAGGCGGAGGTGGGCGGCCCCGCGACTCCAGTGGGCGTGCTGCCACATGGCCTCGGCGCTGTCACCTTGCCTCTTCTCTCTGCGGGCCGCAAGAGAGAGAGAGAGAGAGAGAGAGAGAGAGAGAGAGAGAGAGAGAGAGAGAGAGAGAGAGAGAGAGAGAGAGAGAGAGAGAGAGAGAGAGAGAGAGAGAGAGAGAGAGAGAGAGAGAGAGAGAGAGAGAGAGAGAGAGAGAGAGAGAGAGAGAGAGAGAGAGAGAGAGAGAGAGAGAGAGAGAGAGAGAGAGAGAGAGAGAGAGAGAGAGAGAGAGAGAGAGAGAGAGAGAGAGAGAGAGAGAGAGAGAGAGAGAGAGAGAGAGAGAGAGAGAGAGAGAGAGAGAGAGAGAGAGAGAGAGAGAGAGAGAGAGAGAGAGAGAGAGAGAGAGAGAGAGAGAGAGAGAGAGAGAGAGAGAGAGAGAGAGAGAGAGAGAGAGAGAGAGAGAGAGAGAGAGAGAGAGAGAGAGAGAGAGAGAGAGAGAGAGAGAGAGAGAGAGAGAGAGAGAGAGAGAGAGAGAGAGAGAGAGAGAGAGAGAGAGAGAGAGAGAGAGAGAGAGAGAGAGAGAGAGAGAGAGAGAGAGAGAGAGAGAGAGAGAGAGAGAGAGAGAGAGAGAGAGAGAGAGAGAGAGAGAGAGAGAGAGAGAGAGAGAGAGAGAGAGAGAGAGAGAGAGAGAGAGAGAGAGAGAGAGAGAGAGAGAGAGAGAGAGAGAGAGAGAGAGAGAGAGAGAGAGAGAGAGAGAGAGAGAGAGAGAGAGAGAGAGAGAGAGAGAGAGAGAGAGAGAGAGAGAGAGAGAGAGAGAGAGAGAGAGAGAGAGAGAGAGAGAGAGAGAGAGAGAGAGAGAGAGAGAGAGAGAGAGAGAGAGAGAGAGAGAGAGAGAGAGAGAGAGAGAGAGAGAGAGAGAGAGAGAGAGAGAGAGAGAGAGAGAGAGAGAGAGAGAGAGAGAGAGAGAGAGAGAGAGAGAGAGAGAGAGAGAGAGAGAGAGAGAGAGAGAGAGAGAGAGAGAGAGAGAGAGAGAGAGAGAGAGAGAGAGAGAGAGAGAGAGAGAGAGAGAGAGAGAGAGAGAGAGAGAGAGAGAGAGAGAGAGAGAGAGAGAGAGAGAGAGAGAGAGAGAGAGAGAGAGAGAGAGAGAGAGAGAGAGAGAGAGAGAGAGAGAGAGAGAGAGAGAGAGAGAGAGAGAGAGAGAGAGAGAGAGAGAGAGAGAGAGAGAGAGAGAGAGAGAGAGAGAGAGAGAGAGAGAGAGAGAGAGAGAGAGAGAGAGACTTGCTCCTGACGGGCGAGAGCCACGCTGACGAAGGCACGGCCTGGTGAGAGTGCTGTGTGAGGGGCGTGGTGCCTTCGGTACGTACGGTAACACAGCGGCGGCGGCAGCAACAGCAGTCCTGCAGGTATGGGCGGTGAAGCCCGTGTGCTGCAGGCGGAGGTGGGCGGCCCCGCGACTCCAGTGGGCGTGCTGCCACATGGCCTCGGCGCTGTCACCTTGCCTCTTCTCTCGCGGCCGCCCGTGAATCGCGTCGCCCGCCCGAGGAACGCAAGGACAGCTGCGTGGGGCGAGACAGGTGTGGGCGGTGGGCGGAAACACGTGTGCGAGGAGTGCAGGTGCGAGGCCGTGTGGCGCTCGCGCTGCCTGGGCGACGGCGTCCCGGGTTGCCTGGCAACGTGTAAACAACATGGCCCGTGCGCCGTAAGGGTCACATTTCCGCGCCCCGCCGCCGGCCCCAGGGGATCTTCCCGCCCACTTTCTCGCCGAAAGGCTTCTGTCGCGCGACCACCGGGGCCGAGGGCGGCTTACGCACTCTTCGGCTACGAGCGGGCATTCCCACGACGCACCCCGGTTGCCCGACGCCCAAGGGGGAGGAGCCCCGACAGGGTTTCGTCGCGCGTGAAGCAGGCGATAGTAGCCCGGAGCGACGCCGAGCGAGCAGCGGGCGCAGCTGTACTACACCCGTACACACGCGCACACACGCACATGAGCCTGAGCGGGGAATATGAACCAGCTAATCTACAGGACTTTATCTACTCCCACAGAAGTGCAAACAGCGCCGAAAAAACAGGGAAAAGCAAGAAAGCAAAAGAGATATCACCACCGCCTCGGTTGCCCATCCGCAGTCTGTTGTTCGGGGAGGGGGGGTGGGTGGGAAACGACCACTGTCACGAACCCCTTTTAATTGTCGCGTCTAAATTAAGACAAATCATTTAATGCTAAGTAACGTCTCAAACTGCACTTTCCTCTCGACATTAAAAGGCTATCCTTAATTTCCCTCTCTCCGCTTACCTTCTTCACTTACCTGAAGTGTTTCACAAATAATTTAGTTCTGAATAAGACGACTGACTCAGCGCAAATAGAAATTGAATGAAAGATATACAGAGAAACACAAATATACAAACGCACGTGTGCAAGCGACTTACATACATTCACATACACTCAGAAATAAGGAAACAGAGACAGAGATATAGAGATAGAGGGATAGATAGATAGATAGAGAGGGAGAGTGAGTGAGTGAGGGAAGGGGAGAGAGAGAGAGAGAGAGAGAGAGAGAGAGAGAGAGAGAGAGAGAGAGAGAGAGAGAGAGAGGGAGGGAGGGAGGGAGGGAGGGAAGGAGGGAGAGGAAAAGAGAGGGAGGGCGAAAGAGAAATAAAGAGAGAGGGAAGATGGAGATATGGAGAGATAGAGATATATAGATAGATAGAGAACCCACTCGCCACTCGCCAGGAAAAGACCACTCGTCGGAACGGACACACCAGGCCGCACTCAGACCCCCCCCCCCCCCCCAAGGAACTCTCGCTCTCTGGCTGCGAGCGACGAGTAGCGTATTGAACGACCGAGCTCTCCACTTTCATTATGAATAATTACTGGTGATTGGGTCGCCTCTTATTCCTCCCCCTCCCCCTTCCCCTCCCCCGCTCCCTCCCCCTCACCCGAAGTCTCTATTCCCTCCCCCACTTCCCCTCCCATTCTTCCCCCCCCCCTCCCACTCTCCATCTCCCTCCTCTTCCCCTCTTCCACTTTCATCTTTGCTTTCTTTTCAAATCCTTCGT